AGGACACTGGCACAATCTCACAGAGCAGCAGCATTTCTAGGTCCTGTTTCTGAGAAGCATTTGTGAACTAAATGCACAACCAGTTGACATGATTTACTTTCAAACCTTTGATTTATTTTGAAACCTTTTACATTTTCTGGAGACAAAGGTAAGATGTAAGATACCTTTTGCTCAGTCTTTTTTCAGAGTCCTTGACTTTTTTTTTTTTTTTTTTTTAATTCTCAGAAAAACTTTGGCAGAGATGCAGAATCGCCACGGAGCCAGGATACCAGGTCGGGAACACTCACCTCTCCTTGTCCAAAGAGGTACTGTAAGCTTATGGGGCCAGGCCCTGCTGTGTTCAGTTTCAAACAGCTTTGCTTGGCTTGCAGGCAGCTCCCCAGTTCCCCTGTGACTATTCTGGCAACTGGGTAGCTGCAGAGAGCAGAATTGGCAGTTAGGAGCAAGCCGCCTAACCTCTCACAACCACTCCACAAAAAGAGTGGAAAAATATAACAGGTAACCATTTATCTTCTCTGCTTGCAGGAACTGGTAGTCAAGACTGGCCAGAGCAGCAGAATATCTCAATATATTCATGTCCCAAATGTGAAGAAATTCTGCCTGATTTGGACACACTGCAGATTCATGTTATGGACTGCATTAATTGAATGATGCCCTCCAATTCTTCATCTTCTGAAATTTCACCTGCCAAATACACTTTTTTTCTTCCTACACAAATAATGCTCAGCTCCTACATCCAGTGAAGGAGGTTTTCAGGGTTTTACTCATTAATTAAATGGGAAAAGGGTAAAACTTCTACCCTGCCCAGTACTCACTAATCTTGTTTTAATCTGCTGTAGGAAAATAATTTTTATAGGTTAACAACATGGATTTCTTCCAAGGAGACCTAATAGCAGCCTACCAGTACCTAAAGGGGGCCTACAGGAGGGATGGGGAAACACTCTTTATCAGGGAGGGTAGTGACAGAACAAGGGGTAATGGGTATAAGCTGAAAGAGGGTAGATTTAGATTAGATATTAGGAAGAAATTTTTCACTGTGAGGGTGGTGAGGCACTGGCACTGTGGATGCCCCATCCCTGGAGGTGTTCAAGGCCAGGCTGGATGAGGCTCTGAGCAACCTGGGCTAGTGGAAGGTGTCCCTGCCCATAGCAGGGGGCTTGGAACTTGATAATCTCTAAGGTCCTTTCCAACCCCAACCATTCTGTGATTCTGTGATGTGTTAGAGAACTCCCACTATGTCTGCTGCTATGAAATCTTTAAGGAACATTCCCCTGATGTGCTCTGCAGTTATGGCTAGCCTGCAGAATGGGGCTGAATCACTGAAGTCAGAAGGGAGATGGGATATATGCTGATCAATTAAAATACGGTGAGCCTGTAAATACATCATCTCTCATATACTATCAGGAAACTAATACATTAAAAAGCTGTTTGAGAAGCTTTCAGCAAAATGGAGTAGTGCTGTATTCATCAAGCATTTGAAATGAACCCTGCTCTTTCTCCAGATGGCAGTTTTATTGCTGCCCTTGTGACTATTCTAATCTGATGTTAAATTTTTGATGGCTTATGTAACTTCTTGCTTAAGCCAGATGTGGGTAAGGAAGGTTTAAAACAGATCATTTAGGTCTGATATATGGAGCTTCTGGAGCACCTAAGTCACTTGATTTTATAGAACTGTTCGTTTTTAAGGTGTTGTGTTGATTCTTCTTTATTACAATAAATTCATTTGAACCTGTACAGTATTGTGCTAGAGCTGAGATGGATGTAACCTTATTTAAAGAGAAGAATATAAGAGATTTTCACATCTCAGAATAAATCTATTCCAAGTATAAAATTATCTATGCCTGTGAATACTTTAGACACTGAAACAGGATTGCAAATACCTATGGTTAAAAAAGCTCCTGTAGAAAGCACTGTAGCGTATTTTCTGTTCTTGCCCTCACTGGTGTTTTTATCTCAACAAAAAACAGTCCTTAACGTGCCATTGCATAAGGGAGGAAAATACACAACTCCTAGCAAAATGTGAACCAGCATGAACAGCAGGAAACGACTTGAGCAAATTACTGGGATCCATGCAAATGAGGTGTTTCATGCCTTTTGCAAATAACTAACATTTACACTGTTGGAAACTAGCAGGGAGGGGAGGTAAGAGATGCATGAAAACCTCTGATGAGCCAAGCTGGTGTCTTCATGTAAAGGGCAAAACTATAACAAAATGCAATTGCAATTAGTTATTGCTTGTGCAGTTGTTAATGGCTTTAACAAAAGACAGGGTGGCCTGATCCCAAAACCTTACTCTCACCATGGGGTGTGCTTATCCAAGGGACTAATTGGTAAAAAGTGGTTTAGAATAAAGGTAATGTGTGTGTCTGGACAACTACATATTCCTAATGCAGAAATAAATTAGTAGAAGGGAAAAGGTGAGGGAAATGGCTTTTGTGGAGATGGTCACCTAAAATCCCCCTGAAGGACTGTGGGGACCATCAGCTTCCCACAGAACTAGTGTGAGTGAAGGTGATGGGCTTCCTTCATGTGTCCAGCTTCACTACGATAGTGCTACAGTTGTTATAAACTGCTGCTAGTGCACAGTCTGATCCAAGGGCTAGCTTTTCAGCATTAGCTTAATAAAATGGTAAAAAAAGTTCATTTAGTAAAAGGGACATGAGTTCTACTCAGAACACAGCAAATCAGCATAAAAGACCATTGTGACATTAATTATTGACCAGGCAAGCTTTAGGTAGTTCCAAAGTGGGAATTTCTGAACAGAAAACTGACAGCTATGATGACAGGATTTACTGTGTTGCATTGCAGGAGTTATGGGCAATAACATTAGTTTTAGTAAATCAGGTAAGGGACAAAGGAGGTGGGACAGAGCAAGATGAGTTCAGGACTTGGCACATCACCATCCATGCCACCTTTTCTTCATTTGAAAAGTAAAATTACTTCTCTACCTGTTATGCAGATAATCACATAATACAGTTCAGTCAGAATATATATTGAAAGGTCTTAAATGTCAGAACAAATTATGACATGACTACAGTTAACAATGGTATTAGTCCTAAAAGCTGGGGTGTCTCAGTTTCCATGTACACCAGGAACAGAGAACACAATTATCACTGTTGAGCTGCAAAAGGACAGGCCCTTGCCCACAAGCACTACACCAGGGAGGCAAGACCCAGTGTTCAAACGCATCTCCTTGCACATCTGACACCCTCACTGAAGTGCTGTGTATGCGAAGAAGTCATGTGCTCACCCTCCATGATGTGGTTTATGAGCTGTGTCATCTGTCCGTGAGAAATACAAGACTATACCCTATGACTGACAGGAACTGGTCTGTGACCTTTATTGCTGACTTATTTCATGGAATGGGTTCACTTCCAGAAACACTGGATTCCAATTTTGGGAGATTAGCTAAAAGAAGCATCTATTACTGTCATTGCTTGTCCTCTCTCCATTGTGCTCATGGGCTCTATGAGGTCCCAGCTCAGTGCTGTGACTGGTGAGGAGAAAGGGCATATTCATGCATTTGGAAGAAGGGTTCAGTTTTGGGGGTGGCTGTTCTAGCATAATAGGGCACATGGAAAATTCCACTGGGCTCCCAGCATCAGCCAAGATCATCTAGAGCATTCTCAAGGCAGTCAAGCCATGATACAAAGTCCATCTGCGATGGCTAATGGAGAGCAGCAGCTTTTCAGGTACAGGGGCAAGAATGCTTTTCTTCCACATGAAGGTAAAGATCTGGTCACGTATGGCTGAGCAACACGCTTCCGTACTCTGAAGTTCTGAACATTAAAAGGATGATACAACCTGTGAGAGATACGCTTGTGTAGTAAAATTAATATATATAGCTTATGATATAGTGTATTACTGAGCTGAGGAGCATGGAATAACTACAGGAGAAAGCCGTTGGGATGTTGTGGATACCACAACTGAATGGGCACAGTTATAGCAGATGCTTGCACATTGTAAATTCTCCTGTCAACCTTACTTCCATAAGTAAGTACTTCTCCAAATTGTCCTGTGGATGAAGATCCAGATCACAGACGAGAAAATACACTGAGCAGATCAAGAGAGGGATTAGAAATAAAAAGTTTGTCTACTCAATATTTTGCTTCAAACCTGAAATAGAAACTATTGTAGAGCTGAGCTATTCAAAACACAGGCCTCAATAATGTAAAATTTATGTTTCACTCTAAGTGGATGAATATTCTTAAAATATACACAGGAAAAATACTGGCAGATGTTTCTCAGGCCAAATAAAATATTCCTTCAGTGTATTTTTCATGTCATGCTGTCAGTGAATTCTCAGCTACCGATACCAGGAGAAACAATCCTTTTTTTGCCCTTGTAATTAAAGTGAGGAGTTGCTTTTATTTTGCTAGTTGTCACTGTTTTTCTAATTATTTCTTGGAGACTCTGGATTCTCATCTCCTGCTAGCTGTAGCTCATGTTCTCACACAGCTTCGCCCATAATTTCGGGTAATACACGAGCTGACTGAAATCTGTTGTGCAGAGGTATTCATCGGCTTGGTTGCAACCTTCTTCATCAATTACAAGTACTCCCAGCAGATGCAATCTCTTGTTGCCTTTTAATTGGTTTCTTACGACAGCAGGATATGGGCTTTTTTCCCTGAATCCAATTTTATTATGGGAGCTTTGTGATAGTTATGGATTCTGCAATGATCCAAATCTGATGGAAACACTATTAGGCCAAAATCAAACTAATAGAATGATAATAGAGCTGATTTCATCTGAGGAGCATTAGCCTTACTGAAAACACAGAAAATCAATGTCAAAGGCCAAAGGAGGAATTACTTATGCATCCATCAAGTCAAAATTAATCATTTTAAGAGGCTTCAGAAGAGAAGGGATCTTAGCGCAGGAATACTAACAGGAAGACATGGGCATTGGCTGAAGCAGGTTTTCACAGGAAGATAACATAGGCCTAATAGTGCAAATCAGGAGAGACAAGGAACTGCAAAGAATCAAACCACAAAACACTGAAATCTCTTCATGCAACAGGGAGGATTGTTTGTCTGTTGTCACCATTAACTGCAGTCCAGAGGGCAGGGGAGCTATCATGATAGGTGGCCGTGGCCAGCAGATGCACATTAGCACAGGTTTAAGAGTACGTCCTGTTTGCTTTCTCTTAGATAGAGAAAATGTATTTGTGTTTTAAAGTGACTAGATGCTCCGTGTCCATGAAATACTACTTGTCTGCATATCCCATTTTTTAAAAAAGGACATTCCTGGTGTAGGTGTGGGTGGCATGTCCCACAATCAGTACCCTGACTCCACGTGCAACAGGAGCCAGAAGTGTTTCATTCCACTTCAGATTTCAAATCAAGACTGGGAAAGGGCCAGAACAGTCCCCTGGGGTGGGCTTGAGATTCGTAAACAGGAACGTACCTCTAGTTTTGCAAACTTCAAGTTACAGGAGCAGGCAAGCCATCATTACTGCAGTTAGATGGGGAGCAGGGGGACTTGGTGATGCTCTGTGATTAACCTGGGTCACACCAGCGATTAGCAGCCAGAAAGAGGGGAAATATGAAAAACACAATGTCCTGATGCCTGCCCTTGGATTTGCACCCATGCCAAGACGGGACACAAGGTGTTTCCCCGCTTCCATCGTGGACGAGCAGCAATACAG